TTTCCAAAAAAGTAGAACAGAAGGTTTATTTCCACTAGCTTTCTTCTGATGCACATTTAAAAGAATCATATTGCTGTAGGAGTCTTCCAGGATGTTCCTATTATGTATGTAACCATGGCTGGGAGCAGCACCGCAGTTTTTAGTTGACATGTTAACATAAGAACAACTTCCCAGATGACAACACATTTATTAAAAATTGACGATGACATTACACTTGGTGTTTAAACCTTATGGAAACACCCCAAATTTCCTTCAAATAACTATGTTGTATTTCTTGCACCAACAGACAGCCCACACAGTGGTGGAGGGTGGACATGCAGGTGAGATTGTAAACATTTAAATTTAAATAAATTTGTCTCATAATGAGTTTCACTTGATAAGAAATTCTGTGGTTTTCAACTGAATACATTTGTTTAAAAACATCTTTTGCTATAGTAAAACTGAGTTTGTCTATATTTTAAAGTTCAATTCTATAATTCATCATAAAGTTGAAAATTCTGTGTATTCATTTAGCTTCAGTTTGTCAAACAATGCAATTTTTTGTGATAAATGCATGCTTTTAGCCATCGCACAAAGTAATCAAACACAGGTTCATCGGTTAAAGTAGTGGAGTATCGCCTACATGAGCTTGGTAGATAAATCAACACATGACAGAAGAATATGTTGCTTATATTTATGTTTAACCCAGGTACTTTTTCTTAGGCTGTTTTCTCGTTTTTCCAAAATAGCAAGTTAAGCAAGACGAGATGCACAAAATCTGTGAACAGCAATTTCCCTCAGTTTTTTTGTGTAATTTTTTTTCACTGATTTTGTAATCATGAAACACAAACAGAAATTGAACTTGAACATATCAGTTCAGTATAAGGTAATTGACATTAAGTTTAGTGTGTCATACATGTTATAGTGAGAAGATGGCACTGGAACACAGATTAAGGATACAGAGTAAAGTTCAGAAAGAATACAATTTGATTGTTCAAATATTATTGGTTCAATCCTGGTCCAACTCCCACCAAGATGTATCCTCCTCTTAGTCCAAACTGTTTCCCACGGGGTTTCCCTCTCCTGTCCTTCTTGCCCTTTGTCCTCCTATCCATGCAGCTTGGATCTTTATGATGAAATCTCTACCACAGCCTTGCCTCCGAATCTTAATTGGATTCAGCTCTAGACTTTGATGAGGCTATGGTAAGAAATGAAAAGCCATGATCCAAAGGATTGCAATGCTGAAAGGGAAACTGGGTTCATGGCACATATTCACCATCTCTAGATGCACCAGTGTCACTACTGTCACCAAGCTTCCTGCTCTGAGAAATGTCTGGTATCGTACCAGAGAAAAGTAGTTTCGTACTGTATGGGGGTGTCGTAAGTGAAATGTTTTTAACTAGAAAAACTATGTATGGGATTTGTTTGATTATTTAAACTATTTTAAAACATCCCAGGGCTATGTCAGACCTTTTTATGAATTATCACAATTTCACTCCTTGCTCTACAAAAACAACAAAAAAACAGAATGAAGGTCGTGAATCATATCTTCAGTATTTGCAGCCACCCCATGATGTGTCCTTTGTGCTTGGAAAATTTTTGGAAGGACTTTTTTCTGTTTTATTCCCTCATTGAAATGGTCACTTGGTTGTTCAGTTAAACACTAACGTGTGCTCCTGCCAACAGCTGTACCCAAGGCACCCCCCAGGGGAGAGAGAGGAAATTTGCCATCATTTGAACCAGACACTCTTTCCTTTTAAGAAACTGCTGATATCGCTCCCAGTGCTTCCATTTCCAACTCAAAATCTATGTCTCAATGATGTTACGGTAGCAGAATTTTTTTAAATATTGAGGAAAGAACTGATGGAGATCAAATTAATAATCATGTTCATTTAAAGTATTACATAATAATTTATATTTTCAAACTAACTTCCTATGCTTCAGAGTAAAAAAATTCCAAATTTGATTAACGGCACTTTTTTTCTCCAGTATTGTACTGTCCGTTTCTCATAGCAGGAGCCTCAGTGACAGTTGCGACAGTGTTGAATCGTTGTCACAACTGTTAAATGTTGCACACAAGTTTCCAAAGATCGAAACCTTCCATTTAATCTCAATAAAATGCATGAGATTCTGTGGTTGTAATTTGGAGGGGATGGGACGGCAATAAATGTGCTTTATTGTTATAATTTTTCATTAGATTAAATATAAGCCTTCTACTTTAAGCTCATGTTAATGACAGAAAAAAATACGCTTTTAAAAAGGCTCCTATCTTGCCCCATACACCATAATGGCTCTATTAAAAAGGGACTAAGTAATCTACAGTGTGATAATTCACTCTTTGGAGTCCAATTACTTTGCTGTCATTTAAGAGTTTTTTTTTAGAGATAAGTTGAAACATTTATAAGGTACCCTTCTCTTTGTTTTCCTGAAAAGCTAACACATTAAAACCATACAGGTAATGGTTGTGTACTAGTGAAGAGTCCCCTTCAACCTATTATTGCTGGATATATGCTTAGATTTTTATGCTGTTGCTTGTAAAAGAGTTAAATAAATGATACATTTAAATTTTTTGATCTTCAATGTCAGACAAGGAAAGCTTAGAAAAGAATCCAGTCTATCACTCACCTTAGTATGACTCATTGCTTCTACAACTGCAATAAGATCCCATGGGGAATATAACAACAGATGAATCGGTATATTGATTAATGCTATTTACAACTTACAGCTAAATGCAATTTCTATTAGACAGACAGACAGACAGACAGACAGACAGACAGACAGACAGACAGACAGACAGACAGACAGACAGACAGACAGACAGACAGACAGACAGATAGATAGATAGATAGATAGATAGATAGATAGATAGATAGATAGATAGAGTACTGTATGACATTTCAATCTGAAATAAAAAAGAGTAACTAGACTTAGATTTGTTTATGCTTGAGCTTGTAAAATGTCAGCATATCATTGGTATGAGTCAATTCTTGCAAAAACGTATTGTCTTGAAGAGGAAAAAAGTAGTCTTTAGGGTGTGTACACATGATTTTTATTTATAAAATACAGATGGAGATTACATTCATATGAAACACAGAAAAATCTTTAAAAATATTGCCATATGGTACACATGCATTAAAGAAATAGTTTTATTTTAAGTGGTACACAATTACTGTATTTTGCAGTTTTCATAACACAGGTAAGGGAGTGTATTCTCATTGTCCAGTGTAGGCAACACTACTTTGAATTATTTATCTTAACTTATACTTGTTATTAATATCCAAAAGACAGCAAAGCTACAACAAAAAATAAATGAACCAACCAAAGTGTCCGCACACAGGGTCACCAGATAACATCCAGAGTAACAGATGAAAATATCAGAAACAAGGTTTCTAATTTCTGAGTACAGCTAGGCACCCACAACAATGTAACTATTTTTAGAAATATTTCACTGTTAATGTTGTTTTCTCTTTCAGTAACTTACCTTTTCACTACATGACTAAAATGAAAAAAAAAATAGATTTGTTAGCCAACCATTTGTTCTCAGCTTTTAAACTTTTTTGTAGTTAAGCAGCAATTAAACCATTGCAAAGCTGATTATTTTCTTTTTTGTTGAAAATTTCAAGGAAATTTGAGGACAAACACAAGATTTAATTTTTCTAATTTCTGTAAATATTTAAAAATGTATATTGCAGAGCTGTAGATTCACTGTCACTGAAACCAAATCTATTCTTTTGAAGAACATTTCTCTGTCTTGCAAAAGAATGTACGATTTTAAATTATTGTTATCATTAAATGTTTTTAAATAATCTAAAAGAAGATATTCATTGACCAGGCTATTTTTCGCGATCTATATAAAGTGTAACTAACTTAAAACTTAAATCTTAGTCTTAATCATAGTCTATAAAAAAAATTCTATAACCACCTGTATTTCAGTGATTGTGCTTTGACTCCAATTTGGGCAAATGTCAGAAAATGACTGCTTTGCAAATTGATGATTTACTTTAAACAGGACTCCATTTTTATTTACATCTACTTAATTAGGGTACTTCGATATATTGTTTTAGTATATTTACTTTACTTGAGTAATGTTGATGGAAGACTTATAACTTTACTCCACTGCATTTCAAAGTCAAATATAGCACTTTTGACTCCACTACATTTCTAGGAAGCTAGTCGTTAGTCATTCCTTTTGGTTCAGCTTAGCTCTGTAATCTGATGCTGCTGTTGTTCTTTCTTGGCTACACTATGTTTCTCAGGAAGATCAAATTTCATCCTTAACAATAGGTATCCTGGATGTTTAGTTCTGTGTCTTTTTTCAACACACCTGGATCAAATATTATCAGACATGTGCAGAACTTTGACATGCTGAGGAGGTAGTAACTACCTCCTTGGAGAAAACGTAAAACATGCCAGATACCAGCCCTTGAGGAGTGAATTTACCACCGATTTAGAGATTTGCATGACATTATACAAATGTGAAAAATTTTGTAAAATTATTCTGAAAATTATACAGCAATTTACTGATAATATAAACTTATTTTACCATGGGTATAAGTACTTTTCCTTAAGTAATATAGTTCAGTACTTGCCCACCACTGCTTATAACTTATCAAAGAACATTGAACCAAACATTAGAGATATTGCTTTCTTTTTATATATAATTCTTTTTTTATATATATAATTTGAGCCTCAATGTATACATTTCATCATAAGGAAATTTGAGAAAATGTCTAAAAAGTAAAACATGTTCTCTACATTTTATTTTTTACAAATAAAAAATTGATTACCTGATATTATTAGTCTATTTAGAAAATAAATGGTTAAAATGAGAATGATTAAAAGACTGTAATTGTTTAATTTCCCTGCAGCTTTTTCTAACTTGTAACAAAAAAGGAAATGTGAAGCAAAATATTAATCTGTGCATGTCAAATGATATAAAGCTCTTGTTTGTCTTTCTGGTCACTCAAAGCTCGTTTACCCTATTATAGCATGTGCTAACATCCTTAATGTTTACTGGGTTAGATTATTTGCCTAAGGGTACATTAACCTTTTACAGATGGTGAAATTGAACCCTAGATCTTCCAATTACAACTCCATGATTCAATATTAAAAGTAAAAAAGGAATATTACAAAGTTTTAAAGAGTCAACCAATGCAGTGCTAAAGGTACAGTGTGTAATAACTAAAGGGATTTACTGACGTGAATATGATTGTAGATATTATCTATAAATATGTTATTCATTATCACCTATGAACTGAAAGTCTCAATCTTTATGTTTGCCTTGTCTTAGGAATTGATATTTATAAATAGGTGTCAGAGTAAGAGCTGAAAAACTAGTGACTGTAGAGATAGCATTAGAAGAAAAAGAAGAATTCAACTTTATTGACATTACATTGTCACAAGTACAAAGCAACAAAGGTGTGTTGTGGGTGTTAAGGGTCTTGCTCAGTGACCCAGAGTGACAATCTGTGGAAATGGGAATTAACTCAGAACCTTCGCAATTCAAGCTCAATGCCCTAACCACTAGGCCAGCACACCCCAAACAAGGCCACCACCCCCCCATTACACTTGAATTATGAAAGTTAAGCCTATATACGATCCTACACCGACTAATAAAATTCTATTTGTAAAATTACCTATATAAACTAGACTCTATAACTGGGTAATGTGAAGTTGATCCTCCATGCAGTTAGTGCCCAAGGTACCATATGGTATTGCAAAACTATTCCACAAAGGAAAGTATCTGAAATGAGACACAGTAACACCTTATCAAGATCTGGCAGCAGAGACAGGTGCTATTTTTCTCTAGTGCACAAGTCTCAATAGATGACATTCATCTATTTATCAATATGTTGTTAGAAAATAAATGTTGCGGTTGTGTTTTTGAAAATGTTTAATTTGGCCTTTATTAACATTTCTTTCATGTTCAATGTCAATGTCAGCTATCTTTTAATGTTCACAGTATTGGTATGATGTCAAATGGACAAAGAGTTATACACTATAGAGCTCCATTGTAGGTCCACTGTGAAGTAGAGATTTGGTCAAACAGACCTCCGCTGACCTTGGGCATGAGCCCTGTTCACAATATCCTGGTACATTTTTGACCGCAGAAATCGTGGGTATGAGTCTTTTTCCATTAGGCAGTAGATTTTAGCCTGGACTTCATTTAGACTGGCTGGAGAGGGATCTGACAGGATCTGTTTGGTCTTCTCTCTTGTTCTGTAGTCAATATTTACCTGATGAGAGAGTATGAGATAGAAAGATAAGCTACTTTTGTAGTTTGGCAATAAGCATGGAGTAAAATACAACTTTTACATTAGAGGTAATACTTAAATAAAACAACTAGCTCTGACTGTTTTTCTTCTTTTTTTGGTATGACCAGAAATACAAAAAACAATGTTGTTTGCTCATTGATTTGTTTCTCTCCAATGAAAAATAACCTTTAGCCTATCACAAACATGGGAACTAGAGTAATAGTGAAGTACTGTTAGATATGGACGCACTATATAATAAGGCCAAGGACCAAAAACCAAACCATTGTGCAGGATCGGCTAAAGAAGGTGGACTGTCATGCTGCTTAAATACTTTGGTGCTCCTATTAGAGATTGCCCTGGTGCAAGCTCAAAGAATACACAGACTCCTTGATAGGTGTCGAAACCTCTTCTGAAAAACAAAACAAAAAGCTGAGCGAAAGTCCAGTTGCCTTGCGAGTTATGCCTGTTTTGTGATGCCCAGCATATTGAAAAGGTATGTAGTTAATTGTAAAGACAAGGTGCTGATGAAGGTTCTCAGTCATCCAGGTCATAGTCATTCCGTAAAAATTCAAAAAATATCCACTGGACTTGGTTTTCAAGATTTGAAGATTTGTCTTCAAATCTTGAAAACCAAGTCCAGAGGATATTTTTTGAGTTTTTATGGAATGTAAAGACAAGGCCCCATTCACCTCTTTAGATTAAACACTACAACAAAGGAAATAAAATAAGTGAGCAGGAAGGTGTTAAATTTGTTTTTTTTTGTCAAACACAATTGTGCTAAGATAGCTCTCTGGTTTAAGAGTGGCTCAGACAACATAAAGCAGCACTGGGGGTCACATGATTCAATAACAGATTGAGTCTCAAGTTACATGGGACAATTATTGAGAAGGGCATCAAGCACAGAGCATCCCTATGGGCCAACTGTATATTTATTTAAAAATTAAATTAATATATCTAAAAGTAAGATAATACTTAAAAGTTGCATATTTTTGCTTTGAGTACTGTGGAAAAAAATTGGATAACACATTACAGTAGCAGCCATTCAAAATGGCCCATCCCAGTCAAATGCCAGCCGAATGGCTGGACCAATACCCTGAGACTCCAAGCAAAATCCCCTCAAACCTCCAGCCACTGGCCGTGCATATTTCTTTTACATTTGAATTGAGAAAGCTTCCTGGAGAGGTGGCGAAACATCTTCAAATCTTGGAAACCAAGTCCGGCAGATTTTTTTTTTATTTTTTTTTTAACTTTTACAGAATATTTATTTTACTCTGACTCCACCCTTTTAAAAAGGAACAGCCTTTTTAAAAAGGGAGCGGCCAAGGACCAGCCAAGGGCCAATCAAGGAAATTGGGGAAATTTTGAATGGCTACTGCTGTATTTGAGGGTGACTAAATAAGATTAGGTATAAGATAAGATTAGAAAAAGAGATATTGTCACATCCCAATAAAGTGTTTACATAAAGTTCTGCTGTGGGTTAATCATCAGCTATCAAAAGGTTAATTGTGCACTGAAAAACTAAAAATTCTCATCTGAAATAAAAAAATAAAAAATAACTTTTTTTTATCACGAAAGTCAAACATTAATATCAAGTCCTTTAGGGGACTTAAAACAGTGTTAGTAAATGGAAAATCCCAAAATAGAGCTGACTTTTGGCCTGGCCTAAGTAAGGCAATCTTTCACAAAAAGCTGTAATATTCTGATACATAGCAATGCAGACAAACCCACCTCTCTTGGTGATTGAACCTCAATGAATTCTTTGAATATCTTGTTTGCTTTTGACACAAGTTTGGTTGAGCTCTTGATTTTTTTGTACTCCTCGCAGGCCATCCAAAATTCAATGTTCTCATCACTGAATTCAGACTTGAGAAACGTCCGAAATGCAGCCAGCCCATCTGTGCATAACAAATAATACAAACAGTAAAAAACAATAGAGACTTGATTCACTGAGTAAGAGATGACTTTTTTGTGCAATGTTTTGTATTCACAAAACAGTGATGCTATTAAATTTCTTACTATACAAAGCATTTTCATGAAGAGATTGGCAAGGTTTTAATTGTATAATGATAAAACATTACAAAATGCACCCACAGATATGGTTTGTTTTTGACTTATTAAGTGGTCAGATATTAAGTTCAAAAGTGCTGCTATATCAGGGGAGAATGTTATTCTACTAGTTCTGTATCACGTTGACCTTTCTATCTATTTCATTTCTCTAATTTTACAATGATATTTTTACAAAAAGACAAACAGTCTAGGGGAGAAGAAAATAAAAGAAAATTTAGGTCTACAGTTAAGAGATACTTGTAAATGTGTTAACTCAATTACTATGCCTCTACTAAGGTTAAGCTGACCCAGCATAACTTGAAAGGGCTATATGCTTAGATTAAACATAAGGGTCAGTTATTGAATCAGAACGTACAAGGCACAAAGACTTTTACCTTTTACAGCTGATAATTTTCTTTCCTAAATGTCATAACTATAGTGATCCAAAAGTACTTGTTAATGTTGAATGCACAGTGTGTATCTATTTACAAAGAGAAGCTCTTAAGGTGTTCACGTTGTCATTTGCAACATAATGCTCTTGACTACTTTTATACTTTTTTATTAAGATCATGATTATGTTTTAGAACGTTAGTCAATGCAGTAATTAAAAAGTAATTAAGGGTTATTTTACAGCTGAAGGCAACTGAGAGGCATGACATGAAGAAATAGTCAAATTGAAATAAGGACACAGATAAAGATTAATTAAGATGGGAATTACACCTCAATAATTGAAAATAAAACCTGACAAAGTCTCTGCAGAGACCAAATCTAGCTACAAATAACTGTTTTGGGATTGATTTGGGATTTTTGGGTTGGTTGTTATGATTTCTTTTACTGTAGGCTCCACTAGGTTGCTTCCTGAGACCACTGTTGGGCTGGCTTCTCTCTTGCACCCATGCTATTTCACACAGGTATATCTCAACCAGTAATCAGCTAGTGTGCATAAGAGGAGCGGTACAGAAGTCACTCTCGACATGCATTAGAACCGCCGCAAGCCAAACTCTTGGCCATTGGTTCTCATGTTTGCCTGCATCTCTGTTCCAAAGTCTCTTTTGAGTGTACGATCCCACAAGGTACGTCAAGAACAGGTTCACTTTGTTCGTTATCAAACTCTAAGCCACGGCAACCATTTAATCATTGTTTCTCCATTACTGACTTACTGTCCTCTGGATTCTACCGCAGAACTATTTATCCACAACTGGTAACCCCTCCTCTAAATGTCCTCCTCACTATTGTATAGGCTTGAGCTGCCCGCTCTCACAATCTGACTCTGTGTGCCTTTTAGTTACCACAGATTTCCTTATTGTCTTCTGCCTCTTGTCTCAAGCCTCGATCTGCTCAAACTATCTCCACCATACAACAACCCACAGCCCATAATGAGGTATTCACTCACCTCTCCCAAGCTGTTCTAAACATACACTACAGTAAGAGTAAATCAAACCTCCTTCAAGTCCTTTATATCTACAGCACTTGCACTTTCAGAGCTCCCAGTTAACCCCTTTACTGCTTCTTTGTGGGATCACCTTGTTTATTTATTTTTCACCTTTTCAATAAATATGATTTTCTCTGAAACTTTATTCTCCTGAGATTCGTTTTTGTAATTAAGTCAAAGTACTACAAAAAAGACATGACAGGGTACTCAGTCCACACTATTCCACAGGAGGTTCTCAGAAGAACCTTAGCTGAACAAGCAACCATTTTCAGTAATAAAACTTTAACCATCTCTCCTCCACCTTGCAAATCATTATAGTGATTTCATCTGATTTCACCACCCAACACAGAGATAGTGGCAGCTCCATCTCCTGTTCCGCCATTTCTTTCAGTTCTGCCAACCTGTGGTTGTACTACTGCCCCCCCCTTAGGTACTTTGGTGAGGTAGGAGGAGGTTGATGGTAAATGGCCTGTGCTTATATAAGGCTTTTTCAAGTCAGGAGCATTGACCAAAGCACTTTACTCTATATTCGGTCATTCACCCATTCATGTACACACTGATGATGGCAAACTATATTGTTGCCACAGCTGCCCTGCCCTGACAGCAGCGAGGCTGCCATACACTGGGACCACTGGGCCCTCTGACCACCAGTAAACAATGCGGGTGAAGTGTCTTGCCCAAGGACACAATTACACTGATACCTGGAGCAGGGGCTTGGACCATTAACCCTTCAATTTCGAGGCAAACACCTATATCCGACACCACCGTTGCCCCAGTTGAGGGCCGTGCGTCTCCATATGGTTTTCCCAATGATGAGACCAAGATCTCCTGCTGTATATATTGGGTTTGTTTTCTGGCTGTCCCCGGTTTTGAGTTTTAGCTGACTTTTGACCAAAATTTTGACCCATTTTCTTATCTAGAAATGTCTACAAAATAAGACAGGGCAGAAAACAACAGATTATTTTGCTATTGATTTTCATAGTGGCTGCCCTGAGATGGGAATCCAGCATTTTCAAAAGTATTTTCTTTCCCTGCCTTTATGATTCCATAAAAAAAAATGCGTTGGCAGTCTTTGATGAACCATCAACTTTGGATGACCAGATTACAAAAGTATGACAGACCCCGATACCCGTCTTTCCCCTGAGGAATGACAGAAGAGGATGTGGAGATTTCACCTATTAAATCCCTGCCTGTCCCTTATGAAATAAGAAAAAAGGTCCCCAAGAAGGCCTGTCTGTGAGATCAGGGGCTGGATCTCGCAACGCCATCACCCATAGACTTTGCATGTAAAGCAGAGGCTTTAATGCCCAACATTCGTTTGGTCAGAATGCTCCAAACTACTGATCAATAGTTATTCTAACATCTGATTGGTCGCTTTTCACTGGAAAAGTTGTAAATAATTTTCTAACTCATGAGGAGAGAACATTGCTTGAGCAACTCCAGCCTCTATGCACATCGTTTGGTCTCTCAAGAGTTAATAATTGAATGTTAGCCATCTCTGGTGGCTCCCACCACCATAGATCACAACAAGATCTCTCCCATAATATATATATGAAATAAATTTTATATAACTTCTGGCTTTTATAAATTAAGGACATATTTAACTAATTATTCAATAAATTAACTAAATAATTGCATTGTGGCACTCATCACCATCTATACTATAACAGTTTTTTTTTATAATTCTTATATATAATAAGCTCAGTAACATCAAAAATTTAGTTTTTTATTTATTTTATCTTAACAGCTAAAATCTTATTTCTCTGGCATATAATTTACTTACTGTAAATTAAGCGCCCATACAGTTACTTTAACTGTTTGGACTTACTTCAGTTCACTTTTGGTAGTATAATAATTAAACTGAAACGATATGAAATTTGAGAAAATCATTCTGTGTTTACACCAAAAACATGCTATATACTGTAGGTAGCCAGTTATACAGCAGCTACATGTCTAATTTGCTCCTCATTGGATTTGTACACTGTAGCAGATGGATGAACTTTGATCTATGATTACAGATCATGTTGTTTTTCATTCGTCAGTTCAGCTGGTTTTAGGTCACGGATGCTACGTCAAATTGCTTGTTAACTGAAAATAATCACATGACCTGTCAGTGCAGAAGGAATTGAGATGTCTGCCCCAATTTATGTTTGGTCCAACGGGAAGGTCAGTGACAAGTATGTGACTCATTATGTGGTAAGGAGCCCTGGCAACATACAAATAAGACACTTACATAAGAAGAGTTGGAAAGGAGGGGTTGACTGAAGCAACTTGTGTTGAGAGCAAACTATACTAATGAAGAAAGGATGGAGGCTATATAAAGCTAGTCTTGTTTTTTGTTTCGTTTTTTTTTGTTTTTTTCCCCATAGTTGCAATAGGAAGATTGTTATGAAAAACAATAAATCATATCTTACATTTATGAGCAAGAAGGTGATCGAATGACTCAGACCATCGAACCACTTCATCTGTTGATAGTCTGAAGGAGAAAATGCAACATAGAACAGACTTATTAGCATGGTAACAAACCCCCACGGTTTACCCTGCATTTAATTCAATACCTCTTGACATTTGAAGAGGAGTTCTTAGTGTGATTCATCTTCTGCTCAAGAGACATCCTATTTTTATATATGCTGAAATGCTACCATTACTAATATTGAGTTAGAAGTAGGTCAATTGTGAACTTTCTTTACTCTAATACAAATGAAATTCAGTGCAAGTAATTGTATTTAAGTAATCTCAATTATAGACAGAGTTGACTTATGTGCATCTTAGTCTCAGAGAGCTTGGGTAAATCTATCATCTACACAATATGGCACAACTCGAAACCTACAAAGACACAGCCAGCCAGCAGGGAGTGCAAAGAGAGCATTTATCACAGAGGATCTTTAAAGATTTAAAACTCAGATAGAAAACTCATTGCCAAAGCTACAATTGATTTGGATTAATGCATATTTATGGCATTGTGTGTATGGATAGGTCTATTAGAAAAAAAAAAAAAACTACATCTGGGTGATATATAAGTGGCTGGATCAATAAATGATCTTCCCTTAAGAATAAATATTCTGTCAGAACAAACATCCAGCTAGTTAATGCCTGTTTCAAAAAATATTGTAAAGTGCAAGATAGATTAGTAAAAAGATGAAAGGGAAAAGATAAAATTGGATGGATATCGAAGAGTAGCTGGTGAGCAAACAGAAAAATTATGTTTTGTTTTTTTTTATTTAGAAATGTATGGAGGATTGTTCCTTCCAAGAGCACACATTTTCAATTTGAGAGCCGTATTTTGTTCTACTTGCACTCAAAACTTGTAATGCTAGCACTTTTGCTTCCTCTTAAATATATTCTCTTCTCCCTCTAATCTTTGTTTCTACACTCAGATCTAATGTTTGTTGCACAGATATTTTCTCCTATGAATTTACTTCCTTCTCCTTGAGCATAAACCAGTCTCTGCTCGAATCAGAGATACACAGGCAAACCTGTTGGCTCTGCTTGTGGATTTTTTTGCCCTCTCTAAGACCAGAGTTGGATCATCACCTAGCAACCATTACAGCCAATAGAATGACAGTTGTCTTCCAATGAATTTGTCTCAGATGCATGCTCCAGCTCAGGCTGTGAAGCTATCTTAGCCTGTCGTCCTGAAACAACCACTCTACAAAACACTTTAAGTTAAGAAAAACATTGACAGGTGGTGTGACATTATTAAAAAGTTCAAGAGACTCTTGCCACCTGGCTTCCTATACTGTCTCACTTCACACTCAGCCTACAATACGTGGTCAATTTGGACCTAGGAGCCGTATTGCAGAGTTCTGATAATGGATCTAAGGTTGTCAAAGTACTACACCTTAAATGTCAAAGGATGTGTTTTGTGTTGAGATAAAATATAAACCCAGTAAAGAGTATAAGCTGGGGAAAAAAACTGTAGATTTTTTTGTTTTTTTTTTACAAAAAATTACCACCCAACATGACATAGAAGCTCCTCTATGACAATACTGTCATTTCCTTGTATTTAAGGGTGCAATTTAAAAACACTTGTTTACACACTTTAAGTAGTAGACTTACTTCAGACATCTGGCAGTGGTCTCATGAGCAGGAGGCAAGAACTCAGAGAAGTCAGTGTAGGAGTCAGATTTTTTGGACAGACAGCCTAGCCTGGTCTTCATGCTGGAAAACCTGGTAAAAAAAAAATAGAAATAGATAAATATACACAATGTAGTGCTCTAAGGTTTCTTTCCTTTGTTTTTGTTTTTTTTTTTGGACAAAAAGTCCAGCTTCCTGATGACAAAGTAGAAATACTTTTAATGCAAATTCCTGGTTCCAATTCACAAAGCAAAAGACAAGCATATCAAATGGGGAAGTAAACACATACATAAGTAAAGCTACTTTATTTTGCAATTAATCCTGTTTGGATTTTTCTACACAGCTGATCATTGGATCTTCAGGCATTTGGAAATTGTACCAATGGATGAACCCCACTTCTGGGGGTCTAAAGATGTTTTCAGAAAATAAAGTAGGAAATGTGTCCCTAACTGACTTAAAGCATGTTCTTCTATACGGATTCAATGCAGGACTATGAAAAAAGATACCATTAGTGCTTTTATTTTAGTCATTACATGTAGACAGCTGTTTTTTTAAGACATCTAATTTAGTAAAATAAATTTTATGTAAAAAGACCTTGCAGTGGGAATCATCAGTCTATGGTAGCTGAATGAAAAAAGGAATTACAAACAAAATATGAAAAAAAAAATGATGTCACTCCTAAAAGAGGTTCAAGTGCACTGAAATAGACCAAACCCCCAACCTCCTTTCACCGTCTGTCTTAACTCATTTGTACACTGCTGTTGTCATATTCTGTTTGTCAATGTTCTGCCTGTGGGACATATGGGTCACAACAGATGGGGTAAGACTATAAAGATACTGTCATCAAACCCCGTAGACTGACTTAAAACTATAGTGTCCTTTAATAGAAAAAGCTTTCTGCATTTTGAACAAGTCAGTTATGATAGTTTTGCATTTCATTCACTAGAAATGAGCTGCTATGTTGATTTTAGCCTAAGTGTACATTAAAGCATCTCTCTTTGTGTTTAAGCTGCTAATCAAGGATGTAAATTTCATTTGCATAGACAAATGGAAAAAAAAGAAGATTCAGGACATTTTCTTTAAATATTTGTCCTTTTTGATTAAATTACACTTCACATCTTTCATGGACAGTACTCTGAAGCAAATGGGATTTGTCTTGTTTTTTAAAGATGGGTACTCAGAGAGACAGGAAGGATGTGCAAATTAACACTTTGGTACATTCAGTGAACAAAAAAGGAACATAAGTGCAGGCTTAAAAACATAGATATTGACATCTTGGGAAAGCAGCGCTGTATCAACAATGAGTTGTCAAAAATGAGTCCCTTTACATATCCAAAACAGAGAACTGCCTCAATTATATATTGTTTTGGAGTTTAAAAATGCTTTATTTTTAAACCTACTGCCAGTGCTTTAAAATGTAATCTCATTTTATTTAACTGGATTTTCCAAAGTTAAAAAAGGAAGACAGTTTTGTTTGATCATTAGCACTCACTTAAAATCATTTTCCTTGGCAAAATAAAAAAAAAATCTTATATATATAAATCTTATATTACAAAAATATAATTTCTTGTACTTTCAGTTATAACCACATATTAAAAAAAATTATTTTGACAGATTGTTTGACGAGCATAGCAGCAAAACTGGCCTGTCTGTGGAGCTTTACTGCTTAAAAAAATCTGAAAGCACATTTCTGAATAAACTCATGTTCCAGATGAACTGGTTCCTCACATTAAGTTTTAAAGAATGTTTTTTTTCCCGTTAAGAGGTTTTTGTAAAAAAATTTGTAACCTATAGAAACTTTCAAATATTGCATACCAATACTTTAAACTTTTTCCTAAAACTGCCAAAGTTTCCATCCCCCATGCTGCTCTGGCTGAGCCAGCAGCCACAGCAGACTAATAGCATGTAGCTCAGCTGCTCTGGAAACAGATTCAAAAGAGGCAAATTCTCGATAAGCAAACTACAGTGATGAAGTTTTAAGGTCCCATTTTTCAATTCAAATATCTTAAACTAATTTTGATGACTAAGTAAAGGAATTGGAAAGAGATTGACCAATGCAGGATTTTTAATGTTGATGCCATTACAGGTTATTTTGACATCAGTCTGATCAATCCTAGATATGTGCTCCCAATGTTTTGGGGTGAACGATTTTTTAGGCCAATATTATATCATATCACAAATATTGCAATTTGTTTCTTAATTTCCAAGATAAGAACGACAGTATTAAAAGAATAATATACAACTCTCAGTTTGGATTAGGGCTGCAATTAACAAATATTTTACTTATCAATCTGTTTTTTTGGATGAATAATCAGATAGCAAAAGGTTCCTTAAAGGTGATATTTTAAACCGCCTGAAGCAAAAAATATGCCAATAAGGGGATACTGGATAGAGGATATTGAAATACAAAAAAAAACTTTTAATCTTTAGTAAATGGTTAAAACATTAACAAATAAAACAAAACAATATGTGATCTGTTTTCAGTATTGTGTATCCATGGCAATTCACAGTAAATAAACACAATTTTATGTATAGTTTATTTAAATGTTTTGTCTTTGATAATATTACTGATCCAGAGAAATGGAAAAAAAAAAGAGGACACATTTGAAGACAGAGTTAAATTGGGAACATTGGATCAAATGTGCCTTTCATTATCTAGCTAAAAGCCATTTGCTGAAACAAATGGCTTTCACTCATCACATAAATTTAGAGGCATTTTTTGATTTTACTTTATGTTCCCCAATCACTAATAAAAGAATGTTTCAATGTAGCTGTGCTTAATTAAAACCATGTGCATAGTAATAAGACTAAGGTGATTTGGCTTTTGGTATCGGTTGATTTGAATTTTTTTTCACTTTTCTTTGCATTACAGGCTGGTGGTAGGCATTAATAACTTCACAAAGAACAATAGTTTGCAATAACAGTTGAACACCCCAATGACTGTTACAAGTTTCTCAGCTTCTCTGGCCCACTTTGTAAAAATTTCAAAACACTAAAACCCTCCAGTTTGCTTTAAATAAACTGTAGCACTGATTCAGGCCAACCCAGAAACACTCATTTTATATGCTACCTGTTATGGATTAAATAGATGCAATGAACTATAATGGTAAGTTGTTTGCTCGTCAACATGATTCATAATCTAAAGGCAGACTCACTTTCATAATATGTTGTTGTTTTTAGAGAGCTGCATAAAAAATAGTAATGAATAAGTATGGTAAAATGACTTCAAAGTGGAGAAGAGCAACCTTGTGCAAAACTATCAGACTCACAATGTTTTTATAATAGGGAAATGTCAGAGATTTAAATAGAATTGTGATTAGAGTGTTTATTATTTTGATGCTTAGATTTACATAAAACATTTTAAAACATGAGTTTTATATATTTTATCAGAAAAGAGCTCCCTTCCACACCAATTCTGTTCAAATTTTCTACCCCTGATGGTTGAATAATGTAATAGCCCAGTTTGCCATAAAAAGAACCCTTCCCTAAGAAAGTAGAGCACATCACCCCAGTTCTTTAGTCCTTACACTGGCTCCCTGTATCTCAGAGAATAGACTTTAAAATACTTCTGTTAGTCTATAAATCTCTGAATGGCTTAGCACCTAAATACATCGCAGACTTGCTATCAGTGTATCAACCCTCCAGACCACTCAGGTCTTCTGGCTCCAGCCTGCTCTGCATACCTAGAACCAGAACTAAACATGGAGAAGCAGCATTTAGTTCCTATGCTCCACTTATCTGGAACAAACTTCCAGAAAACTGTAAAAGTGCGGAAAGCCTGAGTTCCTTTAAATCAAGACTAAAAACACATTTGTTTAGGATTGCCTTCGACTATTCTAGTTAAACAGTTCAACTAAAACATAATTAGTTCAACTTTTTTATTTTCTTTAGTCCAACTGTTTTTAATATTCTTTTTTGTTTCTGCATTTTTTATATTATTTTATTTATTTAATTTTATTTTTTTTCCTACTTGCTTTGATTCTGTTTTATTTTCCTGTATTTTACTGAATTGTGCTATACAAATAAATTTGCCTTGCCTTGCCTTGACTTTTCCAATATAACCAGCTGTAAGTAGCATTTGGGGGAGAAAGTATTGTACTTGTAGTTATACTTGTCTTTGGCTTATCTGGGGCCGGATAGTGTTGGCAGCAGTCTCAGTAGAGACTCCAAGACTTCTATCTCAGAGAAAACCTCCTCCAGTACCTCAGAGGAAAACATGTGTTTTTCCAGTACCAGCCGAGACGCATAGTAACTCCATTGTCTCCTGGGCTCTCTGGGGGGCATCAAGGGGCTAATCAAAACAGATGTCCAAGCCACCTCAGCTGACTTAACTTTATGTTAAGGATAAGCGTCTTTAATGTGAGCCACTCCCAGATTGCAGTGCTCCTCACTCCATCTCTAAGAGAGTGCCACCCCCTGAGAAAGCTTATTTCAACCTGTTGCATCCAGTATCTCATTCTTTTGGTCATGATCCAGATTACATGACCAAAGGTGAGGGAAGGAATGTGTACCATGTGGTAATTGAAAAGCTTTGCCTTATGGCTGAGATCTCTTCGTACCACAACAGACCAGTGCAGAATTTGCATTATAGCTGCAGCTATATATATTCTTCTGTTTATCTCCCACTCCATTCTCCCATGGCACCTGAACAGGACCCAGAGATACTTGAACTCCTCCTTTTGAGGTAGGGACCCTCCTCCTAACTAACGGGAAAAGCCACTTTTTATGGTAGAAAACCTTGCCCCCCAACTTTAAGGAGCTCACCATTATTTCAGTTGCCTTGCACTTATCTGTTAACCTCTCTGGCACATGTAGGTCAGCAGATCCATGCAATCCATAAAAGGCAGGGATGAAATCCAGGGGTCCCCAAATAAGACCCTCTCCAACCCTGGATATTTTCAGTTGTCTGGGAGTTTGTTCCAGATAAGTGGAGCATATGAACTGAATGCTGCTTCTCCATGTTTGATTCTAGCTCTGGATGGAAAGCGTACAGTAGGCTGGAACTATAAGACCTGATCTGGGAGGTTGATACACTGACAACAAATATGTTATGTATTTAGGTGCTGATCCACTCAGTGATTTATAGACTATCT